TGGACAAGCATTCATTCATAAAACAGCTTAATCAGATACAGATTAAACGGGAGTTGTTCCAACTTAAAGCAAAAGCTATGAATCAAAGACAAAAGATAAAGATACATTATAATGTGTATAATTAATAATTCTTAAAACTTATTAATGAAATATCAAGTGCCCATTAAGTACTTCTATCGCCTCCCTTATACATTGTATTATGCATACATGGAGATCGTATGAACTAAGCTTGAACAAAGAACTAATCATACTCACACTAAGTCATACCACATTCATACGAGTACGAGCATAATGCGTGTATCTCAGTCCAACTACCCTTCCACTACTCCTTCTCCCACTGAACACAAAGGTCATTTCATGGAGAAAATTATTTTTTCTCAATTTCTCAACATACAGCATACCATCATAAAGGATTAAAATACTGATATGAAAACACTGATGACAGTAATAGTGAGTACGACTGAAATGTGAACAGCATGTTTTTCTTGTGTTGTAGAGCATGAATGGTACACGTGTCTGAAAAGCTGCGCTAGAGTTTTGTACTGCATGTAAAAATTGTAAGTGTAAACTGAATTTCTGTTACAACTCGCCTTTCAGATAAATGAAGGTCAAGTGACATCAAGAAATGGAAACGTAGAAAGTCATTGGCGTGGGCTCACCTCTCTAAATTGAACTGAATGATTCAATAGTAAAAAAACACCAAAACCCCCCCCCACCCAATTACCACGCCATAATCCATGTCCCTTAACTCTTTCACTACGGTACTAGGACATTTTCCTCACCTGGACCGGGCCTTATCTGTGACCTACTTTTAGATTCTGGCTACCTTCAGACAAATTAAAGATTTTGAGTTCAATTTTCACTTTAGCCATATGTACTATATGAAAATATTGGGGAAATAATGACCAATCTCAATATGTTGTTAAAAATTATCATTCTTACGCCCGAGATTTCAGTTTCGATAGTTACAAAAGTAATAATAGATAGCATTTGTATAGCGCATATTCCCGCTCAACAGCAGGCTCTATGCGCTTTACACTATATTATTACCCCAGCAGACCATAGAACACTCCGAAACATTCTCAGCTTCCCGGGAAGCATACCGTAGGTATGGTTCTGAAGCAGGAAGTGGCGAGCCGTGAAAAAACTTATCATTATCACTCTGTATGAAATCAAATACAAGTACATGTGCTATAAAACCTAGGAGCAGTTGACTCTCTTTAAAAAATAACTCTTTGCCACCAAGTCACGCTTTAGCCCAGACACCAGTCATCCAAGGGAACGTATTTTCAGGTCGGGGACCCGCAGAATCAACTTTCCAGCCAACTGCATGCATCATGGGAACTACTACCCACTTCCTTTCAGCGCTGCAGTAAGCTGGCAAAAACACCTTTTTAAAAATTCACAGCAGTTTTGAGATAAAGAGCTTTTTTTGTCAGTGCAACCATTCTAAAATGGCGGTCTTCTGAAATTTGAATTCTACTTAATTCCAAACCTAGTTACAGTTTCACTTTGATTTTTTTCACACAAGTAGAGAAACTGATCAGGCTCTTGATTTAACAAACAAAAAAATTTTGAACCAAAAATGAAACCAGGCGTTTTGTCAGGTGAGGTTTATCTGAGATGAGAGACCTCAGATTTCAGGTCCATCTGTGATATGACTAAACAATAGAAAACTTTGGTTCAACCTGCACAAACAAGGCACACCCTAAAAGTAAAACTTAAGTGTTATTATACTGCATTTGTCTGTCCCCGAGGTTTTATGCACCCCGCATAATTTAGCAAAATTTGATCATTTTTTGCATAATTTCTGATTATTTTCCTTTATAATTTTTTGTTAAAATGAACAGAATCGAATAATTTCATATTTTTGGGCTCAGTTTGAATAATTTCAGAATTTTTCTTGTATAAAACAACGGGGACAGATTTGTAAACGGAATTCCTCCTGCAGCTAGCCTCTCCGACATGTGAAATGGTGTCAAGTAAATGATTCAATATTTATTAAGTCGCTGCAGTGGGACCAGTTTCTGTCAACGTGCTGCCTGTTCTGGTCTTTGGTACAAAAGTAATGGACATTTGTGCAGCCAGCCAGCCGGCGCCCCTGGGACACCAGTAGCTCAAGGAACATAAGTAATAATAATAATAATAACAATAATAATAATAGTAATAATAATAATAATAACAATAATAGTAATAATAATAATTTAAAAAATAGACAGCATTTATACAGCGCAAATCTCTTCTCAACTGCAAGCTCTAAGCGCTATACAGTCTATACTACTACCCCAGCAGACCTAATAGCATTCTGAAACAGTCTCAACCTCCTGAGAAGCATACAGTACAACAAGCTGCCATTTTACTGGCGCTAAAACACTAACATAATGACAAGATCAGTAAATGAAGGCAGTGTAAGCTGCAGAAGTGTACTACACACATTTGGGGGCAGTTAACAAGAAGTGAAAATACGCTTTTCAACTCTTTGTCTCCAGAGGGGATTTCCCCTAAGCATTTGAACTCTTTGTCTCCAGAGGGGATTTCCCCTAAAAGCATTTCAACTCTTTGTCTCCAGAGGGGATTTCCCCTAAGCATTTGAACTCTTTGTCTCCAGAGGGGATTTCCCCTAAGCATTTCAACTCTTTGTCTCCAGAGGGGATTTCCCCTAAGCATTTTAACTCTTTGTCTCCAGAGGGGATTTCCCCACTATGCCCAGCTCACCTCTGGTACAAAAAACCTAAGAGTGACATACACATCGCTAAATTGGTAATTAAATCAAAACAGATGAACCTATTTTGATAGTTTTCAATCTAATGAAAGAACTCCCGGTAAGAGAGACCTATTTTTGTTAATATATAAAATAATGGACTGGCCTGGATACGACAGAATGTACAATGGCAGCTCACGACCGTGAATGATGGAGGGTCGCGACACGTCAACCTCTGAATCAGAGATGACACGTCTAGGTAATCCAGGTATTTTTGTCAGCCGGCAAAAATTAATATAATGTCTTTGTCATAACAAATTTTGACCATGCCGATGATAACGGATCACCGGTACAGCGGTTCCGACCGGAGATAAGGAGTTAATGAGTAATGTTTACAAAAACACAATAGTTATTCACTCTCCCACAAATAGCAAATGTAAAAAAAATGCCTTGGCTAGAATTAACAATTTCTACGAGGTCAAAATATATGAAACACACAACTCAGTTTTGTAGTAGTAGTATAGGGTTTTACGGCGCTCGCAACTGCATAAGGTCATATGAGCGCGCGCAACAACTCAGTTTGCTGCTAATATTCATGACCTATAAATAATACTCTGATTCTCAACACACTGTACACGAAATACCGTCTCGCAAATGGAACAGTTGTGTACTTTTTGGGGGGGTTGTTTTTCTTTCAGTAACAGACAAGACAAATGACACATACATCAAACGAAACAAAACTAAGGCACTACAGGTCATACCCAGTCAACAACATCTCCATACTACACAGAAATATGCTACATTACAAAATGAAAAGAGCAAGCCTAATCTGGTACTCTCCATTAAAAAATTGACCCTTATAACGGGCTATTTTTAGCCTCACGTCCCTCTGGCTTAGGCAAATACTGGAGTCCTTAACTCATCAGGCCCAGCCAAGGCAGACTGTGTCTTCAAGTTTTTGTGTACATTAGAAAAAAAACACGAAAATGTTATACAGTTTTCCTTTGAGGTTTAGAGCATAGCCTGTAGGATATTCTTCAAAGACAACTGGACAGATTATGGTGAGGTACAGGACTGGATATGAGACGGCTGGTGCCCTGTGAGGGAAATATACCTGACTGGGGCTGTACAGTTAGATCGATATAACATCGGTGTGACATTCCACATCCAGACTATTCTGTCTCATTTCTAAAATTTCTTCTTTGCTTCATCTCAGATCATATTGCAAAGTGCATATCGACTGCTCAGAGTAAAATCTGAAATATGCCACTTTTCAAAATGGTGTTTGGTAGAGTCTTTCACTAAAGCAGTTAAACAAAAAAAACTTGAATACTTGTGTCAGTCATGGCTTACAAGTAAGTAAAAATGCCTCTCACATACACACATCTGATACTCGGAAGAAACTATGTCTGTGCGCAGTAAGACTCTTGATCAGAGTGCAGAATGGAATCAAACTCATAACAGGAAATATTTGGGAAGCTCTTCTAGTACTTCCAAAACATGCATTTAAAAGTTTGAAAACTGTTTAAATAAAAATGTTTTTCTTTTCCATTTTCACAAACTGCAACTAGACAAGAGAACTCTAAAGTCAAATTCATTTCTAGCAAATAGATAGCATTGTTATCATAGATTTTCTTCACATCTCACAAATACTTGGAGCACTTGCTGCAAATAACACCCATACTACAATCATAGTTGTACATGCTTTGCAGAAATAATTATCCGGACTGGAAATGGGCTTGCTGTATCAAGCAAAGAAAGATAAATAATAATCTTTGCCTGAAAATCGAGTCAATTTCCGGTAAAGTCCAACGATAAAAAATCCCAATCCAGGCAAGTCTACGTGTCACGACACAGGGGGATCAGGCGCTTGTCAGTTTCTTAGTATGCGGGTGGAGTAATTGCTATAATTCTAAAGCTTGTTCATTTTGTCTTGTTTCTGATGAAAAAATTATCTATCTTGAAAAGAAATCAAGATATTTATCTGTGACTGAAGCTGGTGGGGGTTGCCTGGTGTCAGAGGTAAAATTAACAATAAAATGGACCCCAAAGTTTGGTGAATTCCAGAGCTCGAGTTTCTTTGGGAACTGAAAATTTACTTCTTTTATTTTTGTGCCTTTGACCATGGTTATCAGTAATATCCACACAGAAATGTGGTTCAAATGGACATAACAAGTGTGGAGCCAGAAAGAAAAACTCGATAAAAATTGCTCAACAAGCGGAAAAAATATATGTTTTTCCGACTTCACCACGATGACACACGTTTTAAAATAAAATAATAAATCAATAAAAGCCAATCTTCCCCGCAACATAACATGTATTTACAGTTTTATTCTCATAAAAAATCAAGGCAGCAATTTTTTAAAATATTTTTTTTTCTAAGCCGAAAACCAATCCACTGGGACAGCACAAAGGAAGCCACAAACTTCAACTAAAAAGCAGTAAAAAAGCTGAGAGTCACAATGTGATAATTCACAAGAACATAGGCTCTGCACTCTCCCAGCACCCACTCTGCCCAAGCACCTCACTCGCTCACTGTTCCTTCACCAGCCACACATGTACTTGAACTTTGACACCGGTTAAATAAAGACTTTCCTTCCTTCCACGTCGTCCCCACCTTCGGAAACCCTTGATGACCCTGATGATGCAAATCTGTCGTTCAAACTGATACCAGTCTGAAAAAAAAGGGGAAAGAATAATTAAACAAATGCAAAATTAAAATCACAGTAACAGTTCCCTGTGCGCTAGAAAGCACACACAGTATCTAGATTACGGCATTCTACTGGACATTTTGAGGGCTGTCACAGAACATTGATAAACTCTTTGCACTCATTTCTTTCCTTTCTTTCCTTCAATCCAAGTATTGCCTGGAAAGAGTGGCCTGGATCTTCTGCCCGGGTCACACGGGGGTAACCGGCAACGAGAGAGCAGACAAACTGGCTGGAGAAGCAAAAGTGGGAGGGAATTTGACACTGGACCCACCAACCGTCCTAACCGCTGTAAGGGAAAATTTGAGGAAGAATAGGGCGGATAGCGGTTCCCACACTCTAGGGAGACTGAAGGAGAAGGGGATCTAGAGAGGAGAAAGGAAAACACAGCCATCTTTGAGGACCAGTCCGACGGATCTCCAACCAGATCATGATGGAAACTATAAAACTATAAATATAAGTAGACAGACTCTGGGATGGATCCTGAAGAGGGGGGGGGGGAAGAGAGCAGAGATGGACATATTCCGACTGCAGTGACCCCAACACAGTGGACAAGTAAGGACAAGTAAGTAAATCCAAGTATTGTACGTTCACCACAGAATGTAGCCCCCCCCAACAATGACCTCCACTCTGTTCTTTCAGCTGTTCTTCCTTTCCACGTTGTTCCCGCCCAACCTCCGATGTCATCCTGCCACATTCTTCCTTGTCTTCCTCCTGATCGTTTTCCCATTCTTGGTCTCCATTCAGCGTATCTTTCATCCATGTTGTCCATCATTCTACCGACCAATGTGACTAGCCCGTTTCCAATGCTCTCACTCTTTGTGCTGTCCTAAATTTCTAGGATTTTTTTCCCCGTCCTTGCCCGTTCCTATCAAACGACGCTTTTGTGTTTAGTAGACAGAATGTGCAAATATTAGGGCTGGGTCACGAGCGTGAGAACGGAACTGAAGCGTCATTCTTTCCTGCGGAACGCGATTCACGATTCACTTCAGCGGAACAGTATCGCCAAATGATTCGCGATTCACTCCCCAGTTGCTGTCACCACCTTGTGGTTTGTTTAACCTACTGCTGAGTCGAGTCAGGAGCTCAAGAACGGAACGCAACACTTAGTATGGCTCCCCTTATTTTACAAAAGATGGTATAGTCCAACCCCCCTATTAAAACAAAATGAACGGGGTCCAACCAATAGACAGAAGGAATTTTATGGAGCCACTGTTTTAGGGAATGGTGGGGTTGGGGGGAGGGGGGAATTTATGGGCGTCACTAATTGAGGTCAGTTGATAGAGCAGCGCAACAAAGGGTGTGGGGCGGAGAGGATGGCGGAACAACAAGAGAGTGGGACTCGCGCTCGCCAAGAGGCGTTGATACGACACTGTTCCGTTTCAGTCAGTGTTCCGCCACAGCTCCACCAGCGCTCGCGTACTCACGATTCATTGAAGCCGACTGAATCGCGAATCGCCACTCTCAAATTTGACGAGCAGGATCCAGCCCTAGCAAATATTCTTCTTATAATATCGCGACCTCAGTGCTTTTTTGTCGTATCTCCATTTTTTTAAACATTGAAAATGTGACTTCTCCTTCAGCTTACTCTTTGTTATGAACTGTTTTCACTGTTGTTATTAAAAATGGAGATATGACAAGACAAGAAAGCACTGAAGTTGCAATATCGTTATAAGAGCGAATTCGCAGAAATAGGTCAAAGGCTTATTTCTCCTCATCCTGTAAGGCTGGTGCACCTAGAGTCCGGGAAATGTCATGATCTAAGATTTGTGTAATTTTAGTAAGTTTTACGGCACTTGCGACATAAAATTAAATAGGTTTTACAAGTACCTTTACTAGAGAGTAACATGCACAGAAAAGAAGGAGAGATGAAAATAAAATGAAATGGCATCTATGTTTAACGGCCCTATCAACACTATCAGGTTATTTAAGAGGCAAGACCTCTGAGTTTAACTTCCATCTCCGAAAGGACCGAGCCAAATGGGAAATTCACGTTAAGTTCCTTTTCCAAAGACACAATGTCGGACCCCCAAACCCGCAATTTCACGACTATAGGCTCGGCAACCTAACCACTAGGCTACCCACATCACCAAAGAGAGATGAGGACAATAGATGTTCGACAAGAAAGGAAAAGCAAACCACACTGGAACACCCGCCAACCATACATAACCAGGGTTCAAAGCATTAACCCTTTCGTTGCCAGGGGGTATACGTTCCTACTGTCAGCACTGAGTTTCAGCTGAGCTCGTTACCCAGGACAGCAGCCTAACATCTCAGTGTTAATGGACATGCAGTCAAGATCTAGATCCAGATCTAGCACACTCATGACATATTTCGGACACTGGGTCTTCGATTGTGGCACTTTTCTCACTTTTCTTATTCCCCATTTCCTCCCATCTTAATCATAATTTCAAATAACCTGCAAATATAAGTCAAAAAGTTAATTTATTCGCCTTTTTAAAGTCATTTCGATGTTTACGTTTTACGAGAGTGCGTGGCCACCAGCAAGCCTAGATCTGTGTTCATCGATAGCTTGTAAGCCTAGCAGTAAAGTAATACTAGCAAATTGGTACCGATACATCATTTATTACTGATTACGAATCTACGCAGACTTGAGGCCAAAATCCGAACAGAAGAATAAGAGGCAGGTTATAAGCATCTCATGAGTACATGTAACGTCATACAGGCAACCAGGAGCGGCAAATTTAGCCACCTTCCATTACGTACATGGTACGGCACGTGCTAAAAATTACGCATTTTCATGATGTAACAGGTACGTCATAAGGCAACGAAGGGGTTAAGGACTTGGCCCTGGTCATAATGATATCCCACTGACAGAATGATCAAAACATTCAACATATTGAACCCCCATCAAAAAAATTTTTTTTTAAATGTGAGGAAGGGTGACAAAATGAGTTACTTCTAGCAATCCACAAGTGGAGATATTGGCCAACAATCGACAGTTGGTTCAAATTTGTAGATTTTCTATTGATGCCACATTCTTTAAGTATAACATGCCTTTTATTATTTCATACTTATAAATTGCAAAAACTTCACTTATAAGCATGATGTATCTATTTCCATAAGGCTCAAATCCAAGAAGCAACTCATTTTGTCACCACGCTTTACAAATATATACGGTACCGCTGACAAAATTGCAACAATTAGAAATTATGAGAAAAACAACTCTGTTCTGCAAATGCAATGTCATTGAAAAAACCCAACACGTAACAAAGCGAATCAATTATTCAAGCCTACATTTCATGGTGAATAAGCCCTAATAGACATACTATACTCGAAGGTTTCGAATAATCCCCCCCTATTAATTTTCAGTTTGTTTGCGCGCACCATCCCCCCTCCTTATTCCATACCCCCGTTTATTATTTTTCAGCTTGCCACTACCGACAATCATGTGAAACATTATATCTAGAATCTATATATCTGAATGAAACTTCTTTTTTCTTTTAGATGGCAAATTACCCTCAGTATTAGTACTGTACCGGGTTGGCTATTTCAATTTTCTGTGCATTTTAAAAACTTTTGTACAATGGTTATATTATTTATGAAACTGGTTTGGTCCTAAATGGGAAAAGTTGTCACAGTAACTTACTAAAATCACTAAAATTTCCTGATCTCTTGTTCTTTTATGTTCTTTTATTCACTGAAGGAGAAATTTGTTCCTACTAGTACAGGGGTATGAGGTTGAAGGAGCCCGCTCCCCCCGTTTATTAATTTTGGACCACTTGTCCACCCCTCCCCACCGTTTATTCAATACCTTAGAGTACATACTGCGTGTAATTTAATTAAAGTAGTTTTTAAACTAGGTGAAAGTCCCCCCCCCCCTCCAAAGTAATGCGTAAACCACTTACCGCGGGTGTGGCAAAGACATTTTTCTGAAATTTGTAGACAGTTGTCACAGCTGGCTTCAACATCTGAAAATGAGAAACAATTATTAAAAACTGGGCAAAAACACTGTCGAAGGACTTCTTTCTTACTGGTAGGACTACTATGAAGTTTCCTCAGTGATGGGGGATGGAGCGTAGGCAAACAACGCCTGTATCTGTGAACTAATCGGAATCAAGACACTAACATTTATGAATGCATCAACAACCCTTTTCTCTCGCTTTTAGGAACAGAGAATATGCCAGACCTTGCTAGATAAAGCATTCTGAGGGCCCTCTGGGTTGACAGGGAAAAACTGCATGTGTTGAGCTACAGAGCCTCCTTATCTGTCTAATCTGACACAACTGAACCAGTTCCAAAAATAGTTCAAGCGAACAACTTTCTTTTTTTTCTTTTCTTTGTGTGTGTTTTACAGCGCTCCAAACTGCATAAGGTCATATGAGCCTGCGGGACACACTTAACATTTTCAGTTTGTAGGAAATTTTTAATTTTGCTTGGTTGGTGACCGAAGCCTACTCTTATCAATTTTGGACCACCATGAGATCTTTAACGTGTGCAACTTGCACACAGGACCTCTGAGATTTTTTGCCTTGTCTGAGAAGGCTAGGTGTAGATCTTACCTACTATAAGATCAGGGGTGTGGCTGAAAGACACCAGTAAGAAGGAGCCAAGGCGTAGCCGTAGAAAGGCTGCAGATAGAGTCAGGAGCCCAGAGGAGGAGCAAAGGAGGTGAGGGGGTGGAGGCGGAAAGTGAAGACGAAAGCAGACGACAGAACATTGCTAGAGAGCAGGAAAGGAGGTGAAAGAAGACAAATTTTACTGAAGAAAATTTTCTGTTGCTATCCAGTTTCGAGTCCAGGACCTATAGAATGAGACGCGAACATCTTAACCTCTAGACCACGAGAGCCCCCCCGAACAACTTCTCTAAGCCGATGTCATTCATGAGACAGTAAAGGGGAGGAAATTACTGGTCCGACTGACTCTGTTATTCTGGAACTCTCCCTCACGACATTTGAGGGATACAAATGTGGAGGCAAAATTACTTAAAATTCATTTTATAAATACCTTGTGAAACACCAGCTTGCTAATAAGTCCTTCCTATTCAGAGTAATGTACATTTATTTTTAGTTTTAGTAGAGGCTTTACGGCACTCGCAACTGCATAAGGTCATATGAGCGCCAAGGGGTGGATGTCAACAGAGAAGTCTTTACAGGGAATCAGACTTACTTACTTTGCTCACCTCTCTAGCTTCAACAGCACAAGGTCTGCTTCGACTATCAAAGCACCCCGGAAATAGCGCTTCACAAGAGTGTGACAAACATGCAAAAGAGGTAGAGGAAAATGACAATAGTAAGGATCAGGAAAGAAAAAGCAGCAGTTCCCTGTTGTAGATCAGGCACAGTTATGAGCATGACATTGATGATTCGGCCCATTTACAATTCTACTGTGCATGAACGAGAAATGTCCCCCCTTTGGGAATGGCCTAAAGAAACTTCAGTCAGTGGCACCGCCCCCGGGGGTACATTTATGTTTAAAATGTGATGTGCATATCATCACCGATTGTGCTCAGACAGAACACATGTCTGCTTAAGTGTTAGCGTTATTCTAAAGATAGAAAGTATGCATGTTTATTCACTTGTGCTTTGTGTTGAAATGAAAGTATGGTACTGTAAAGGCGCCATTTTGTACAGGAGGGGGCCCTATATAGAAATTATCAACATTATAATTATTATTTTACATTTTATGAGCATGTAATAAGCCATTAATTTTTTTATTTAGGAAAAAAAAATTACACTAATAAATTATTCTTTTTGCCAATAACAAATGACAAGAAACTGCATTACCTTCAGCTGATCCATAATCGAGGATTGATCTTTCTTTGCTGCTGGGGCACTGAAAGGCAAACAGTTAGAAAGAACTTGATAAAACCATTTGGACAAGAAAGCACCAAGGTACAAGCAAAACTAACCAACTTCTAAGTCGATTTAAAAAAAATTAAACAACCACTGATGCTAAAATGACCTATCATGAAAATTTAACTGTAAAAAATTACCATAACCATCATGTTCGAAACAGGATGAAAAATATCTTTGTCTCAGATTAGAGCAAAAAAACTACTATCCTTCAAAAGTAAACACAGTGTTTCTATGAGATTCATGCAGGTGAAAAAATCATCAATATAATAACATTAATAAAATGTGGAAAACAAAAACTGGATTCTGTACTCTGTTACTGACATTTCATCATCATCATCATCATCATCATAATAATAATAATAATAATAATAAATTACACTTCTATTTGTCCCAGAAGGGTTTACAATGGCAAACATACATATATTACAAACATAAATACAGGTAGGCCTACATAATTATAAATACGTACATACATAAATACATGCATAAATGCACAATATTACACAAATACAGAACAGTTTACAACCATGCCACTGTGCAGCGCCCTGTATTTTGAGCTGGGGTTGTCGTGTCTTGCCCAAGGACACACCCCAGTGACCACCCATCTGATCCCTGTGTCACTGACATGTGCTTGACATTACTTGAGTCTAAACTCACTGCTCACTTAGCCACTGGAGCCCCCCACTTTTTAACACATTTGATGTATACAAACCAAGATAAAAGACGGCACTGATACTCACTTCTGATTTGCTACTTGAATGGTGAAATGGTCCTGACTGGCTGCCCCTTGACTGGGCCGTCTCCTCCACCTGAGACATGAGACAAGACATACTTCACTGGTCACTCACAGGGAACAAATCAGGAGTGTGCTTCTACCGGTGAACACAACACAACATGGCATCATATCAGCACATCATAATCAATCTCTCTCTCTCTCCTTCCCCATTCTCTCTCCCTCCCGCTCTCTCTCTCCCCCCCACCCCCCCCCCCACCCCCCACCCCCAAATCGCAAACAAATTATACCTGAACTCCGAAAGAACCAAGCCAAATGGGAAATTCATGTAATGTGCCTTTCCCAAGGGCACAATGTTGGACTGAGCTGAGGCTCGAACCTCCGAACCTGCAATCTCACGATTACAGGACCAGTAGCCTAACCACTAGGCTACCAACGCTATCCAACAAACCAAGCCAGGGCCTTTGGTGAAGGCATGCAAATAACAAGGCCAATAATCCTTAAAAATATAGGAGTTCCTTTCTCCCCACTCCCAGAGGCACAATTTAGATCATTTAGGAGGCAGGCATTCACCCTGCTTGTCAGGGCCAATCCAGGCTGAGAGGGATACAACGTCCCAGCAGAAAGACTGGAGATACTAGATAAAAATTCTCCCCACATAGGAATCAACCTCAGGTTTTCCAGGTGTGAAGGCAAAGCCCCTAACTGCTACACTACAGACGCCGCTTTTTCTTCTGCATTCTTCTCCTTAATCTCAAAAACTGTTAATTTCATTTTAAAAACCTCACAATACTCAAAACACCCTTTACTTTCAAAAATTATCTTTAGACAACGAAAACAACACACTAGACTTAAAATCATATGTGTAAAACTTGTACAGTCACCAAAATGCCACTCTGTGAAACGTGGCCAACCCCATGAACACTACAGGAGAAGATGCACAGACCAACAGAGGAAGTACGCAGGATGGCCCAGCTAATGATAGATACCAGTCTTCAAACATGATTCCATGAAGAAGAAAAAACCCACAAAAACATCAAAAACTTTGCTTGAAATTAGTCTTAGTTAGTTATAGTAGATGTTTTACGGCGCTCGCAACTGCATAAGGTCATATGAGCGCCAGAAGATTGGAGGTGTTACAAGAGAGTAACGAACATAAAAAAAGAAGAAGGGGAGACAAGGACGATAAATGTTTGATAGGAAAGAAGAAGCAAACCACACCAGAGCACCCGCCAAACACCCACCCCATGCTTGAAATGATAACAAATGGAACATCCTGTGTTTACCACAAATAATGAACAAAATTCCACTCACCCTCTCCTTTTCCCACCCCTCGGCGCATTCACAGGACTAGCAGAAGGATTGGCGATGGTCACAGAGGTATTGATCAGCTGACGCGTTGAGGAGATATTGCCAGGTTGTCTCATCAGTGGAGTCAAGAGTTTTGCTCTCCCACGTCCGGCTTGTTGACCGTTCTTATGAAACAATTGAAGAGAAAATTCAAAGATTAATACCACCACAAAGTCAAAGCATATCGTCTGGGTCCGACGCTAACCATGTATCTTCCAAATTAGGACATGCACCTTTTTTATGGTGTCAGACTATGTTAACAACCATAATTTACTACAAATGTTGATACTAAAGCCTAATAAGCAAGAGTAAAGTGGAACCTTCTACATAAAATTTGAGCAATTCAGGAAGATAATCAGAAAAAAATTACTCCTCCCCATCACAAAAAATAATGGTATTATTTAATTTGGTGCAAACATGGTTGGAGTCCGACACCGTACATGATATATTCATAAACAGCTTTGAGAACCCATTAACTCTTTTTATCCGGGCTACGAGTATACTCGTAACGAGGACCAGTCCGGGCTACGAGTATTCTCGGAACAGTGATACGGTCACGTCAAAGAAGCTAGTTCTGCTTGTAATTACCAAAATACGGCGATCCTAGCTCTGTCAGAATATTTTAATTTTCCAATGAACTGTGGTTTTTTTGTTTTTGATGGGTGTAGAAGCTTGAAAGATGTCTCGAAAACGCACATTTACGACCAACGAAGTACTTTTTGAAGTGACCCTGGGTTGTGAGGGGGAATGAGACTAATTTGATGAAAGTGACTCTGAAATAGGTGCGGTAGATTCCATTGTGGATGAAAAGAAACAGAACTTAGACTCATCTAATAGCGATCCAGATCATGGTGAAGGGGTCAGTACTGGAATTCGTGCTCGATGGGTAGGGCTAGATCTAGATCTATAAAATTCAATGGGACGTCGTGGGCGCGGCAATCAGGGTTAAGTTCGAGGGTGGAATACACCTCAAAATCTACATTGTGCTATTGGTGTATTTCCTAACCACATACATTTACAAAAACTACATTCAATTTCTAACATAACTGCCAAATTTCCTTAAAACCTTAGAGTAAATGTAAGAAATACAACACTTTGAACTATACGCACTGACTTCCCACTCATACAGCGCGGCGGCCCCAGGACGGGTACAGAGTCCGCGGGGGTACAGCTAGGATAAAAAGAGTTAAATATTGCCACAAAAATTGGAAGTGCATAATTCCCTCTGAAGTGCCTTGTGCATGACAACACAATACTACAAAACTACTTATGGAGAATATTGACATATTTACAATGATGTTCTGTCATTGGGGCACCTAATTCATAAAGACAAATACCTCTCCATCCCCAAATGCCCAAGCCTGCTAGACTGTATGTACGTATTGTCACTCACACTGAAGTAATTTTGTGTGGTGAAAATGGAAGACAGTCTCAATCAATGAATACAATCTTGCCCATGCATAGCGAACACACGCACATGGTGAACAGTTTTTCCATGCTCTATGTCTGTCAGGCAGTCTTGTACTTGTACCCATGAGCTTGTAATTTTTTTAAATTACTCTGAAAACAATTTTTCATCTGTGGGTAAAGATAATTTGTTCTTGTATGGGAAAACAAGGCGTATGATCCGATCTACCAACGGGTCACATTGGGTCAAAAACCTTAACACTTTGCGGTCACTTGGCGCAATAATGCGCCGGTGAAAATCATCCGCTCCGGTCACTTGACGCAGTTCTGTGCCAGGCCCAAGAAGTCTGATACAGTCGCTCTCCTGGCTGGGAGACCTGATGGGGTATTTTGTACTGCTGGCTGTGTGACTGCAAAGTGTTAAAAAACAATGCAACTTCACAAAGCAGGTGTTTTTAATCATGAAAGACATCTTCAATGCAAGCCCCTTTAGAAAAATAACAATATATTAAGACCCACCATACTTACCTTGTTTTTTGTTCAATAAACTAGTATTCTTAATTGAAAAAAAAAGACAAGTCTACCATAAAATCAATATATATCTCTCTACTACAACAACTTACATTATTTGGAATTCCACGTCTTTGATTCACTACAGCTTCCCTGGAGGACTTCTGAAGAGCCTGATTAATGCTCTGCATGTTTTTCTTTGCTTGCTGTAAGTTCTGAAGGGCTAGCTGCTTTTCCCTGAGGAGTTTGGCAGCCTGATTTGCTTTGCTCAAGCGTAGCTGCTGAGTAGCAGTTTTGGCGGTCTGTATAGACTGAACATTTCCACTGTTGGTAAAAACCAGAGCCTTGCTCCCTCTGACAGCTCCTCCTCCTCTTCCTCTGCCACGCCCTCTAACTTGACCTCGACCTCGACCCCGAACATTCTGTTATGGAAATTTATTGAATACTCTAGAAAATCAAAACATACTCACTGTGGCCTCTTCATCCTTTTAAGAACAGACAAGAACGCTTATGGCTTGTTTGTTTGTGTAATGTAAAGAAAAGTACATCAACACAATAGAAGCCATTTAGTGGAGGGAAAAGGGACGAGACAGACAGACGAAACAAAAAAGATGAAAAAAAAGCATAAGGGCCCACCAGTGGTGCCCTCCATTTACCTGCCTTCACACACACACACTTTTGCTTATGTCAGCCTGAATTTTCATTTACCAACAACGATGTAGAACATGATTACAAAGAACAAGTGTACGTAAGTACCGGTAGCTGTTCACATATGAAACCAGTCTTGAAATAGAATGGATAGTAGCAGAAAAATTTTAACTTCAAAACTAAATAGCTTAGACACTGAACTGCTTACAACTTCACAGCAAAAATAATTTACAGTCCAAAATAATTCTAGGTAATGATAATTTGTGAATATAATAACAATACACCAATAAAGCTTACTTACCATAGGTTTGTTATCTTGACAAGCATAGCTTATTCTATGAACCAAAATTATACACTAAAATTATATACTATGATGCCAAAACATAGAGATATATAAAAACCAAATTATCTTAAACCTACTATTTCAAAATTTTCTGGGACAAATATTTATAACAACAACTAAAACAATCTCCAGATGTTATATGTTAAGTTCACCACTGCCAGCTAATGCAAAGTGTTCCTGTATACAAAAATCAGTCATATGCACAAGAAAAAGAATTTTTTTTTTTTTGCGCATTCAAATTATGATATAGAGTACAGATCTAAAATGTTCCGAATTACTGACAACCTTCCACATTTGTAACACAACTCTTTGCTAATGCCCAAAGAAAACTCCATACCTGATTGAACCCTAGGCGATTCAATGGACTCACACCAGAATTTTGTCGTGTGATCCCACCACCCCGACCTCGTCCTCTCCTATTGCCCCCTCGAGCTATCTGTTGTTGAGTATTGGCCTGGGCTTGGGCAGGAAGTTTTCCTCGTCCCCTTCCTCTGACAACCGCTCCTCTGCCTCGTCCTTGCCCCCGTCCTCTCATCACGCCCTGACCTCTAACAGAGCCTGTCCCTCTTTGCTGACCTCTGCCTCTCTGTTGTCTCGAAGCTTGGATTTTTTTACGTTTCTCAGCTTTTGATATCTTTATGATATCATCTGAAAATGTATTTATAATGTCAATCTATGAAACAAATGTCTTTTTTAAAGCTGGAATGATTTCATATAATTTTTACTCATTGGAACAATTCATAATTATACAAGTCTAGAGAAACTTGCCTCTGTATAAACTTCATTCATATCAATATAATGTTTCTACTTCAAATGGACCCCCTCTGCTTTTAAATTACACAGTTTACAAGAACAAAAACATTTTGGAGGTTAGGACGAGATAGAAATAGGGGTAGAAAACATCAAAATTTTGCATATGTAGGTGTAGATCTAGATCTATGTCAAGTTAAGTTTCTGCAAGCAGACTTTTCACTTAAAAAGTTAAATACACCTTGTCTCATAATTCACAAAAGTCTCAGTGGCACAAAATAAAATTCTAAAAAGTCCTCTATCCCGAAAATACCCTCCAAATTCAAATCAATGTGACTTGAAGAAAGCATGCTCTACTAGATCTGGTACAACCGGAAAACATGAGTAGTGATTAGTAATATATAGTCGAACCTGCCTTACAGAAACCTGTATAAAACGGAAACCTGTCTTAACGGAATCTCCCCGCTCCCCCCTTGATATATTCCTCTTTAATTACCTGTATAAAATGGAAACCTGTCCAATGCGGAAACGGAAAGAAAAATCCGCTCCCTTCCGAGGGTTTCACCTGTCTAAGACGGAAAATGCTTTGCCCGCTCAGCCCTGATTTGAAACAAAACTCGCAAGTTTGGTTCCGCCGGCTCAAAACTTAATGCAATGGCCATGCCGCTGGGTGAGGAAGGGGAGTAGGGGTGCAATTTGGGGGTAGATGTGACCCCATCATGTGAGTCCTGAGCCATGCAGAGATGGTCAGTGTAGTGTGGGTATGAAATCTCACGACTGCCTGTGAGATTGCTGATTGCTCGAGAAGCGAGCCACTACGGAAAGTTTCCTGGGTAGCCAGAAGCCAGAGGTGTGAAATTAGTTTGACCAATGCCTGCCGCCCTGATTGTACGGCCAGCCGAGAAAAGAGTTCCTCGAATCATTGTTACAATGATGGCAGTGAAGGGTGGCATTGGTGGGTGGGACTAAGGGAGGAAGCAAAAAACATTTCTGTCTTTAATAGGCCAAACAGTGGTCCTATGAAAGGCAAGCACTGGTGGTAATTGGATAAGTAACTGACACATGTCATTATCAGACAGGATAGCAGTTGAGAGGTGTGAAGTTTTGACCACTGCTTGCCGATCGAACAAGCGATCCTTGATCCCACTGGCTGGGCCTTTGAACCCCCCCCCCCCCTCCGCCCAACCTCCACCTCCCCCCTAAATTCCCCTATCTAAGACGGAATTTTTCCCCCACTCCCTTGCGATTCCGTCTTACGCAGGTTCGACTTACATATTGTTGTTAGTGTAAGAATTTGGGTGCTTTTTCGGTAGTTCCCACCCCCCTTATTTGACCAACATCTAGATCTAGATTTATATCTAGATCTATACGTTTGATTCGCGGTGAGCTAAGATATCAAACCTTAAAACATTTAATTATGGTAAAATTCAGGGGGGCATGCCCCCCTGAAACCCCCCTTTCTATTTTTAATAGGTCAGGGGTCTGAAACCCCCCTACTCTTGGGGCGAAAACCCGTGAATAACTATTGCGGGGTAGGAACTACCGAAAAAGCGCCAGAATTTGATTAGGCCCTATAACTCGATTTAAGGACTTGAAACAGACTACTAGATCTATAGCATAGATACTACTAGAACTAGATATCTAGATCTAGATTAGATATAGAATCTAGATCTAGATCTAGATTTAAACAAGACTCAACAACAGTCAGGAATTCAAACTCAACAAAAAAATGGCATGCACACCAGACCAGATAGTAGTACGCTAATCACTAAACTAATCGCTATACATTTCAAGCCTATCTATCCTATAGTATAGGTGTATCAAAAGGCCGTAGATCTAGAAGCAGAAAGCAACTACGATTGGGTATGGTAGCCATTTGACTCAGTTGACTGTTGGTGGCTTCCATCGAGAGTACTGTTTGAGGTGTTTGTGCGTGACAAAAGCCACATTAGTTCAGTTTATATTTTATTTGTTTTTTGTGATGGAGATTAGACCACTGAAACCCTTTTCGAAATGAGAAAATAATTGAAATACACTCACCGAGACTCATGTCAACTTTATTGTGAATTCCGTCAGACATGTCGAATAAACTTCAACTAAAACGTGTTACCGACTTATTGATTTGCAATCTGTTCCCACTGGCCACTCTAGGCTACTTTACCGATTCGGTAAGTCAAGGCTCCAGGTACAACAAAGATTTTGGACTTTATAACAGCTTCGACTGCAATGATACTGCTCCATCTGTTTGAGACTGGTAATTTAAAAAAAGATCTTTAAGGGGGTATCTTTAACGAAATAATACTCACTTTGATTTGTGGTGTATGTGTGTAAAAGGACTAAAAATACAGTACGTTTAGTTCAGTTGAACCGCCGATGATGGTCACGTAAGATCACAGAGATGACTTGTCGCGAAAATGAGAGAGAAAGAGAGAGAGAGGAAGAGTACAAAGAGAGAAAGAGAGAGAGAGAGAGAGAGAAAGAGAGAGAGAGAGAGAGAGAGAGAGAGAGAGAGAGGGGGAGGGGGAGGGGGGGCAAAGAGAGGGAGGGATGGACAACAGACAGACAGACAGAAAGACAGACATACATGTATCACTGATGGAGAGAGATATAATTGCTATATAGGCCTACACACACATACACACACACAAACACACACACACACACACACACACACACACACACACACACACACACACAGTGGCGGTGGGTAGTGAAGGGCTCACAGGCTTGAGCCCCCACCCCCAACTCTATCCCTAAGTAAATGAAAATAACGGTATATATAAGCAGTTGAAACCGTTATGATCGCACGCAATGAACACAGAGCTATATGTTCTTACTACCGTCTAGACACAGAGTAATCAACTTGGCGGCTCGCTCGTTTATCCAATCACTCTTGTCACCGCCTACAACTATAGTAATCTAACAGCCAATCAAATGTCTTTAGGCCTCAGAAAAGACAAGCTCGTTCCCACGCTCCCTCCATAATGAAACCCCTCTTGTAAAAAGGTTGGAGACTTGAAAAAAATAACAC